TCTCCTTTTCTGATTGTATCTCATCTAAGGCCTTTTGTAGTTGTGCCTCATGAGCACTTGCTCTCTGTATGGCGACCTCCTCAGGAGTTAACACTAACTACTGGTTTGCCATAACGCCAGCGGACTGACTCAGGGTTTGTGCGACCGTCGCCCCAACAGTTCCTGAACTACTGGCCTGGGAACTTTGCTGCGCAACGGTTGACATGACTGCTGAAGTAGCTTCCTCGCTTGCGAAGGCTCTGCTTGCCTCTGCGTCCCTAGCCCTCCGCTGCTCCCGCTGCCTCTCCCCAAGGTGGCGGAACAAAAACCGGTCACCCTCCGGTCCTAACGCTAAATGGACCAATGGGCGTCTTGGTGAACGCAGGATCCTATCGTTCGGGTCAGGATTCTCCCTGTCACTCATAAGCTACAGAACTGTGCAGTGTTTGCACTAGGACAGACTCAGTTGCCTACCATAGCGTAGTGCTCGAACCGATGAGTCGGTGGCAATGTCAGAGTATACACATTTGGGTCGAACACGTAGTCCAGATTCCTACAAACGAAACTATTATACTTGACTTGTCCGCAAACAAAAAACAAATTAGTAGAACAGTTCTACCTGTGTTGTGTGTCAGACGTTAATGGCTGTACATCTAACTAATCAGAGTAAAAATAGAATCATTTGAATGGTTGTTGGCAGAATGGAATTGTTCCCGAACTTATCGCCTGAAACCTACCCCTCCCTCAGTTCTTCTTGATTGTCACTTGACCTCAGCGTCCCTGAGCAATCCAGATAGCGTGTGTCTAAAGGTGTGCACACGAGTTAATGCTGAGCTGGCCAGCCCTGCACCATGTTTACCCTCGCGTGCAGCGAGCCTTACACTGACCAATTTGCTGATCAAGAGGCGTTTAAGGACGGCCCCCGAAGTCCTCAGGAATTATTTAACATCGCAAACAGGACGACGATCACAGCCAATTGAAGGTAACCCCGCCGGTATTATTTATAGACGTCCGGTACCCCTTTCCCCTGTAGGGCTGGCCAGCCCCTCATAACCCATATACAGCGCAGCAGGCAGACAAAGGACAAAGCAGCAAAGCATGCGTGCTCTACTTGCTGTGGGTTGGCATGGTGACCGTGACGCAGTGCTTCGTCTTGGGCCCTTCAGATAGCTTCGCCCTCTCCTTCCAGATGCTCCACGTGAACAATTCCGACTCTCAAGGTTGAGCGCACTCGACTCCTCACATGCGAGCACTCTCAAAACAGAACACACATCCTCACGGTAAGAAGTGTCGAAGAGGGTAGATAAGGTTAAGAGCAAACGTACCTCAAAATAGCTGCCCCCAACCACAAATATTCTCACCAGATGACCTGACGCCAATTGTGATGACCAATCATTGCTTCGGCACAACCAGCATTACACCGCCGTTCCACCTCAGCGTCAATCGCACATCAGATAGTTCTCATCACACTGCAAAACACCCAATATCACCTCATAGCCTTCCTGGTGATACCCCACTCCGCCTGGGTTGCCTGCTTGCCTTCCCCCTCCGCACTACACACTTCCCACGGCCGCTCACCCAGCAGACCCCGTGCATGTACCGCATAGGCAGAAGACAAGTGGCAGGTTAGCGCAACGTACCACAGCTGCGGTACGAAAATGTAAGGAAAATGAGCGATAGAGAATTCCAGAAAACCAAGCAGCATCATACACATGAAACCAGATAGTCGTGACCTCGAACCAAAAGCAGAATTGCAACTTTAGTTCCACTAAATAAGAGCACAGCAAACGCTCACAAGTGACAATGTTGGAATAATCTCATCATCATCAACAATGAACCAATGTCGATTCCTATCTGGCGCTCGGCGCCCAGACTACGAATGGCAGATCCTATCTAGCCTATCTACAATGCCGCTGGTGACGTCAACAGCTCCCCGAAGTATGAGCAGATCTCGGCCAATGCCGTTCGCCTCAAGCACCAGGTATGTCTCACGCTTCACTCACAACCTCGATTCCCCTCACAGATGTCACGTGCACCGAAGGACCACCATGCGCCCCATCCAGCACCTCGCAGACCAGCTCGGCTATGGCTGCCTGTGTGTAACCTGCTCGCCCGTGAGTGCGTGGGCGCTTGCCTGCCAGTAGCGCAGCATGTAGCAAGTGCCCGAATGCCGAATGCGGAGGCAGGCACTTTACTATATGGTGGCCTGCCTGCTGCGTGCTGCCTGGCTGCACTGGGCCCCTGCCCAGAAGCTTCCGGTAGGCCCCAAGTGGTTGAGCCCCGGTCCAAGGGAATCAGGCACAGGGCCTAGGGTGGTTACCCGTGTCCAACTGCCAGCGGCCTGTGTGCAGTCCATGCCCCGTGTCTAGCCCAGGGACTGCCTCAGATACATTTGAAAAAGGCAGCAGGGCCTGGGCTCCCTCAACCAACTGGCGCTGCGCAACTGCCTGAATTTCCCAGTTGTGTGGAAAGTCCGAAATAGGCCTCTCGTCCCCTGTCAGGCCTGCCTTCACTTAGGGCGGTCAATATTGCGGAAAACAGGGCCCAGTAGGGCTCATCGAGGCCTTGAGCCTCGCATTCCCTCCTCCATACTTCGACAGTCCTCTGAGAAGTTCAATCACTCAATCTGGCGCTTTCCTTTCTGAAGTGACTTCTCATACTGAGCGACAACCTGTGGAGCGGTCTGCATCAGTTGCTCCCGGGTAAACCATCTGTCCTCTTTTGGATCCGTGTGATGTCTGAACCGAACGCGATATTGCAGCTTCGGCTTAGGTGCATGTGCCCTGCCTGTTGGTCTTGGAACTGGCATTTCTCTGTGTTCCTCGATGTCGTCGATGTCGACCTCTCCATCCATGGTTGGGGGTAGCATTGAGCGACGAGAGGGAAACTGGTCAGTTTCCCTGAAAGGTGTGTGAAAGATAGGGTAGGTGCGAAGGTGACCAGGGATCCGTATAACATACGATGGGGCCCATCTGGATCATTACGGACAATATTTAGGACCTCCCATGGCCCGTGGCATGAGCTTGCGGGAGGTCCCATGCTCCTGCCGCAGTTCAGATGCTTTGACCCAGACTCTGTCCCCTACCTGGAATGTAGATGGGCGGCGGTGTTGGTTCTCAGATTCTATCATTGCTGCCTGTGCTCTATGCATCTGTTCTACAGCTTGCTGCATCAGGCGTTCATATCGATAAGCGAATTCTGAAGTGCCTGGTGCAGCAGCCAGTTGGTTCTCAGGTAGTAGAAAGTCTAGGGGCAGTCTAGGCTTGAAGGTCAGTAGCAGACTGTTAGGGCTCACCCCTGTTGCACTGTGCACAGCGTTGTTGTACAGACTGGCGACGAGAGCAAGTTTCTCATCGCAGTCCACCTCATTAGGCTTGATATAGTGCCTTGGCAGGTGTTGTACAGCGCGGTTCAGCTTCTCTGCTTGCCCGTTCGCCTCTGGGTGGTTCCCAGAGGTCATCTGCAGCTGCGTCCCTTGTTCTGGAGCTGCAGCCTTCCACAGCAAATTATCATATAATCAATGAAGAGTTTCAGTCACAGGCGCTCAACAGCGCAAACCCAAGTATTCAATGTCTCCACTCAGGTATGTAACTCTTCCGAAGCTCTTCTCTCTTCTCTCTGGGTCTTCCCGTTGTCTACCACCTCTCTGTGTCTTCTGTCCCTACTTGCATGTACTCACACACCTTCTACTACTCAAGGACCAACTTTGAACACACCCACTGCTAACTCTACTAACTGCTCTGAAGACTACTACTAAGTACTAGCACTGGCGCAACTATGGCTGCCTTTCCTCTACCAGCGCTGGGCAGCTACCGCTGCTCCCTCCCTCCCTCTCTCTCTCTCTCTCTCTCTCTCTCTCTCTCTCTCTCTCTCTCTCTCTCTCTCTCTC